AGCTCACCACTCCTGCACCCAGAGTCCAGCCCGAAGGAGCCCTGCCAGGCCCACCTTGCCACATCCCTGCCATGTGACCTGGGACTCTGAGGAGGGAGTTGCATTGTGGGGAAGGAGCACCTTAGCTTCTCCTCCCTGCCTGGGCCTCCCTGGCCCAGCCTCCTCCAGGTTCCCTACTGGTCTGACCTGCCAGGTTTGACCCGCCCAGGGAGCCAGGTTCTGCGGCACCTGCCCCATTTGGCTGGGGGCCCTCCCCACCTCCCCCATGACATGTTCCCCAGCTGCAGTTGCTGTGAGGCCGGGCGAGGGAATGGGACAGCAAGCGCTGGGCATGTGACCACCCAGCCACTGTCTGCAGGCCTGCTGCTGTGTGCACACTGCTCTCATGGCCACCTCAGCCCCCTGGGGCAGGTGGCACCTGGTGCATGATGATGCAGCTTCGTGCAGATGCTCAGATGCCACAAGGCTAGGGCCCCGGAGGCCCATGGGCAAGACTGCTGCTGGGCCTGGCCCCTGCCTTCCTATTCCTCCGGCCGCTCTCTCTATGGTTGGCTCTGGCCCTCTGGGCCTCGGGAACAACCCCAGAACCCCATGTGGCTTTGATCATGTTGCGGACTTCTGGGCTGCTGAGGACATGTGGAGACCCCGTCAGGGCTTGGCCTGTGTGTGGAGCCCAGGGTGGGGTAGGGACAGGCAGAGCTGGGGTGCCACCAGGAAAACTCAGCACGGTTTTCTCCTGCACTTTCTGGCTCTGCGTCCTCAAGGGCAAGCTTCTCGTGCCACTGAGATGCCTGGAGGGTGAGCCCAGCCTCCCTGGTTTCCCACTCTGTTGGCCATGGGAGCCCTGGGGAGTGGCCCTGAGTGGCCAGGCAGGGTGGTATGAGCAGGGCCCCTGTGTTTGGCCTGCGGGGGGGTTCCTGCCACCCACATCCCCGCCTGCCCTGCACCCAGCCTGCAGTGTGGTGACAGTGACTGAGAGAATGGGGCTGTGTCTAAGGCTCACTCTCAGAGCCTGGCAGGTTAGCAGGAATGAGATGGAGGCCTGTGGGCAGGGTGTCAGAGCTCCATGGTGGGCCTGGGTTGGGGCACATTGGCCCTGTGGGGCCCTGTGGGTTTGCTGAGGGAACATACGGGGGCCTAGGCCAAGGAGAGGCCCTAGTGGGGACAGTGAAGCTGGCAAGGGGAGGATGTGGCCTGCTGGCCAGAGCTGGGGGGCGAGGGATTGGAGAGAAAGGCAGTTCCTGATGGTCCCCTGCCCAGGGGCTGGCTTTCCTCTGGTCCTTCCCTCCCAATGACCGCGTCTTCATCGAGGCCACAGCCCTGGGCTCTGCGCCCACACTGCCAGCGCCAGGCTGCCTGTGGGCCGTCCATGACCTTCCCTCAGATCATGGAACCCTCCCTGCTGCTGCTGCCTGGAAGGCTGGTCCCCTGCCCACCCCAGGACAGTGGGTCCTACAGCTGACCTGGGGGGGGTCTCTGGCCTGTGTCAGTGGCCTCAGCAGCAGCCAGTGGGCAGCCCAGAAAGGCCCAGGTGAGCTGAGGCCGAGAGCAATGGCCTTCTCGTGGCACCCAGTGTGGCATGACCTGGTGCGTGGCCCTTGGAAGAGCCCTGGTCATGCTGTCCTCGGGCAGCCCCAGGGCACTGGGCCGTGGGATTCCACCAAGGCCCGCAGCTGGGTTTCTCACACGTAGAAGAGATTGGCCCCCCAGAGTGAGGGGCCTGCGCCTTTGGGTCACTTGGCGGGTGCTGGGACTCCTGTCAGCGTACCTGGCAGGTGGATACCTGGGCCCTCCAAGACCCAGCCTGTCCCTATCTCCTTGCACTGTGTTCTGCATGGTTCTGCATGCCCGTCCCACCCGCCACGCCCATCTGCTCTTGGGTGTACTGCCGTCACTGTAGCCTTCATTTCCAAAATAATTTTCTGAAAGTTCTTGGTGCTTCAGAACCCTTCTGGGTTACCGTTTGTTGCTTCCTTCTCCCTGCAAATATCTTTAAGCTGTTCTTTTCTTTCTGTGAACAGAGCGTGCTTGGTTTCAACATGCAGGTCCCCTTGCGCTGGTCCTCGCTTATGGTGCTGGTTTCACTCCGTGGTTCTCTCTGACTGCGGCTGCTCTCGGCCTTTGGGAAATGACTTGTGAGAATCTGCCAGGTGTAGGATGAAGACACCTTCCCCCAGGGAGAACTTTGTTGCCACTGGGTGCCCAGGGCCCCACCAGTGTGGGAACCCCTTAAACCAGTGCTTGGTCTGAGAGTCCCTGCACCCCCGGCATGGAACTGGGATGTACGGCCATGACACAGCGACTCAGGACCTTCCCCCCAGTTTTGTGCAGTGTCCCCTGGCCCCGGGGTGGCTGTGGATAGGGCTCACACTCACCTGAGAGCCTCTCTTTGGGGTCTCGGCCTAACTTGGGGGAGGGTCTCCTATTAGGTTCCCCATCTTGGAGGGACCTGGGTCTTGTTTTCTTTGTTCCCACCCCTGAGGGCACCAGAGCCCACACCCCAGTGTGCCCAGGTGGGCAGGTGCTCTGGGACAGGAATGGCCACTGCGCTCTGCCATCGTCTCTGAGCCCCTGTTCACTGAGGTCTTGGCCAAATGCTGCATGATCTCGTCAGCTCTTGGCTGCTTTTAAGATGTGTCATATGGCTGGGCAAGGTGGCTCATGCCTGTCATCCTTGCACTCTGGGAGGCCGAGGCGGGCGGATTGCTCGAGGTCAGGAGTTCGAAACCAGCCTGAGCAAGAGCGAGACACTGTCTCTACTATAAATAGAAACAAATTTAATTGGCCAACTAATATATATAGAAAAAATTAGCCAGGCATGGTGGCACATGCCTGTAGTCCCAGCTACTCAGGAGGCTGAGGCAGAAGGATCACTTGAGCCCAGGAGTTTGAGGTTGCTGTGAGCTAGGCTGACGCCACGGCACTCACTCTAGCCTGGACAACAAAGTGAGACTCTGTCTCAAAAGAAAAAAAAAAAAGATGTTTCATATGTTTTGTATGCATTTGGGGTTATTTTTACCCAGAGAGTTGACCCCAATAGCTTGCATGCCCTGAAGTGGTGGCCCCTGGTGACCCTGCCAGGGCACCCAGTGCGGAACCCAGCCCATTTCCAACCTGCAGACCCTTTCCCCAAACCCCCCTGCATCGGCACACCTTTTGACTCGCCATCCTGTGAAGGGCAGTGGCCCGCAGCCCCTCTCCAATGGCAGCACGTCCCCCCAGCGCCCACACTTCTGCAGATGGCACGCATCGCCATGGTGACACCGCACCTGCAAACCCTCCTCCCTGGGCAGAGGGTTGGTCCCCAGTGGTCACCCCTGACTCCCAGGCCGAGGGGGGCCAGGGAGGGATGTGGGCCGAGTGCCCCGAGCCGAGGCTGAGTTCTGAGGCCCCTCCAGGCCGGGCAGGCCTGAGTCCCATGGTGGACCCAGGGCGTGGCCTATGGGTGCCAGCTGGAGACAGCAGTAGAGCAGTTTTCACAGACAGTGGAGTGAATCCTGGGCGCCTCCTTCCCTGGGCCAGACCAGCCAGCAGGGAGATGTCACGGCTCTGAGCCTGGGGCATGTCTGTGGTGCTGGCTATAGGCTATTGCCGGAGCCCCTGCTGCCCCCCTCCCCCATGGTGCTGGCACCAACTTCGATGCAGGGTTGATGTGATGGAATTGTCCTTGTCCTGAGTTCTGAGACAGAGAATGCAGAAAGGCTTGGTTTCAAAGACTCAAGAATTGGAGCGGTGGCACTGATGACGGGTGGGGGGGGGGCGGGGAGTTCTCACTGTCCCCAGGGCTAGGGCTTCTCCCAGAGCCATGGAGACTATCGGCCACAGCCTGTTGGAGACAGGTGGCAGGAGGGGCTGGGTCTGGGCATCTCACCTGGCCTCCTGCCCCCAGCCAGGCCCGACACACAGACCCACGTGACAGGCCTCCTGGGTAGGAGCCCGAGCCTGCTCTAGTGGGACCATCTGCCTTACATACGGGGCCGCTCAGCAGACCCTGCCTGACCCCTTGGGCATCTTGTGCTGGTGCACTTGGAGCTCAGTGGGCTCCGCTAGACACACACATGCCCACGGCACACAGCTACACATGTGCACACAGCCATACATGAAGCCATGTCCCTGCACTCACACGCAACAGACTCACATCTGCACATGTACTTTGAACATGTCTTCACCCACCTCCACCCCCACCCCAGTTCATCTTGGCTCCCTCCGGTTTTGGACAGTGTCTCAGCTGTCCCATGTCCCTGGTGCAGACACTGGCTGTGGCCCGAGGCCCTGTCCCTAGGTCATTGCACACATACACATCCCCGGGAGCTGCTGAGTCTGTCCAGGAGTGGTCTTGGCATCTCATCTCAGTCCTCACCAAGATTGTGTGGAAACCCCTCTGGGCCCGCTCAGGAAGGGGCACGTGCCAAGTCTGCACTCGCCTGGTGCCCATCTGCGTCCTCATGCCTCTGCCCCGGCGCGTGTCCCTGTCTACGCTATGGGGTCCTGTAGGGTGGTGGGGTGTGTGCCAGGCAGAGCCTGCCCCCCCAGGTGAGTGGGACATGCAGGGCCGCGGGCTGCAGGTGGAGGTGAGGGCTGCCTTCCTGGGTGGCTTGTTGGGGTGGGGTGGGGGCCATTGCAGGGGAGAGTTTGCTGCCTGCTGGCCCCAGCCACTCTTGTGGCTCCTGTCCTCGCTGTTGCCACCCACAGCACCCACTTGCCACTCAGCACTGCAGAGCTGGAGAGGTGCTCGGTTTAGGGCCATGTGGTGGGTTTAGGGCCACCTGGTGGGGGATCTGGCCAGGGCCCGAGAGAGCCTGGTGGGCATGGAGGGACGGCCTGGCCAGTGCTGAAGAGCATGCAGATTTGGGAGACATTTGTGTGGCACTGGCCGGCTACACAGCGCAGTGTCTGGTGGGCACCGCAGAGGCGGTTCTGTTTTGGGCTGTTGCGGGTTCTGCCGTGTGCTGTTAACTCGTTATTTTCCTTTTCCCGCAGACCTCGTGGCCCCGTGAGAGCAAAGCCCCCCTCGGCAACCATGTGCATCATCTTCTTTAAGTTTGATCCTCGCCCTGTTTCCAAAAATGCATACAGGTAACGCCTCTTCCAAGCCTGCCACGCCCGGCGGGTCCTCACACCGCTGTGTGCGGGAGGGGCAGGGGCAGGCTAAGGGTGCGTGGGCCAGGGCGCCAGAGAGCCTGGCGGGCTGCCTGTGCCTGGCCCTGCCCTTGCTGTGGGGTACTGGCAGAATGCCTTTTGGTGGCAGGGACTCTGAGCCAACACACAGGGATGTGAAGACTGAGCCACAGAAGGGGATCGTAGGGGCAGGGTCATAGTTCTGTGGGCCCTGAGGGGGTTCGGGGCAGCGGAACTGGGGCAGTGGGGTCAGTGAGTGAGGGCCTGACTGGCCTGAGGTGCCGGCGGGAAGTCAGGGTGGCGCCAGCAGCGTCCAAGAGTCTGTGGGGACTGGATGGAGGAGGTGGGTGACAGGCAGGAGACTGAGCCGGATCCTCCCTGCCAACCTTGGGTTCTGAGTGACTGCACCTCCCTCTAAGGGGCACCCCAACGTTTATCCACACAGAGAATGAGGCAGAGATGTGACCCACGCCCCAGAGTGACATCCGAGCCTGCTCTCTTGTGCAATTGCCTGGGAAGTTCTCATCATTTTAAAATCTGCACCAGAAATGCTTCTAACCATTTGAGTGAGGTCCTCAAATTTAAGTCACCATGCAAAACTGCGTGGATGCCATGCCGCCTGACTTTGGGGCTGAATTAATCCATCTCAGGCCCGGGGATGATGAAGAGTATTGAGCATTTTCACTTCCTGCAGAGTGCTGGGTGGAGGGCCAGGCTGGGTCTGGGAGGTGACTGAATAGCCCGACAGTGTGAGCTGAGTGAGTCAGTGCACCACCAGCAGACAGCGTCCCACAGAGAAAGCGTGGTGGGCGGAAAGAACCATTGACTCCAACGGGACTGGAGTAGTGAGGGCCTAGCTGGTGAGAAGTGACCAGAACTCTAGAATACAGGACTAGCACATGTGAGGGACAGCCACCGTCCCCAGGGCAGAGCCCCCTTGCACCCCGGCTGAGACCCAGACCTTGCTGGAGGGGACACAGCTATGGCCTGCTGGATGGCCAAGAAGTCCTTGGGCTGCTATGCTGATAGAATGTGCTGGAAATCTGTCTTCTAGGGTTCTGGGGACTGTCACTGGGTGGCTGCTGGGGGAGATGCTGGCGGCTGGTCACTACTGCACTGCTGTGCGCACCTGCACCTGTGAAGGCCCTTCCTCCTGCAGTGTCTCTGCAGCGCCCTCTGCTGACAGAACGCAGTATGAGCCCAGCTGTATCCGCAGGGCAGGCAATGCAGGGTGAACCTGGAGCTGAGAGGTGGCATCATCCAGCCCTTTGGGGCCTCAGCATTCATGGGCACTCTCCTGTGCACGTGCGAACTCCCAGGCGCCAGCAAATCAGTTCTGTATTTTTTTTTTTCTTTTTGAGACAGAGTCTCACTCTGTTGCCCTGGCTAGAGTGCCGTGGCATCAGCCTAGCTCACAGCAACCTCCAACTCCTGGGCTCAAGCAATCCTCCTGCCTCAGCCTCCCAAGTAGCTGGGACTACAGGCATGTGTCACCATGCCTGGTTAATTTTTTCTATTTGTTTGGTAGAGATGGGGGTCTCACTCTTGCTCAGGCTGGTTTCCAACTCCTGACCTTGAGCGATCTGCCTGCCTCGGCCTCCCAGAGTGCTAGGGTTACAGGCGTGAGCCATCGAGCTTGGCCAGAACAGTTCTGTATTTCCATCTGGTCAGCAGAGAAGTTCTCAAACGGAGAGAACAGCCTGACGGCGCCTGAGCCCCTCCCTGGCCACGCTCATTATTCCCAGATCAGCCACAGCCCACTGGCCACGCTGTTCTCTGAAGTTACTCCGACCACCTGTGTTAAAGCAAAACTGGAGGAAGAACATGGTGAGCAGGAAGCATGCGAAGCCACTGGCGTCCTTGTTTCTCGGTGGGCACCAGTCTGCGGCTGGACTTTGGCCTCCTTCTCCCCTGGCCTCAGCCGGGACACCAGCTGCTCGAGGCTGCACACTAAGGGCTGGCCTGTAAGGCTTGGTTTGGGAGGTGCAGCTCTCCTCTCAGCACCCCACGAGGCACCCTGTCCGCAGGCCACCTGGAATCCCAGATCATCCTTCACTCCCTGTTTCCCTCCTGCTGCTTCCTTGGCAACAGCAGGATAACTGGGAAACAGGCAAAGGCAACCTGGGTGGAAAAATGCCAGTTTGGAGCCAGGCTTTATCCCCAGGGTTTACCTTGTGGCCATCATAGCTGGCTCTCAGGGAAGTGAAGGGACAGTCCCTTCAAGTCCATTCCCAAGAGGCAGAACCAGCGAGAGGACAGACCCCTGGCCTGGGCCGTCCACAGCCACAGGGCATTATGGGCAGAGGGGTGTCCCCTTCACATTCATGCGTGGAAGTCCTGACTGCCGGTGCTGCAGGCTGTCACTGTGTTTGAAGGCAGGGCCTTGAAAAAGGTGATTAAGGTAAAATGAGGTCACGTGGGTGGGCCCTGATTGGTAAGATGGGAAGGGCTCAGGACATGGACACACACGGGGAAGCAGTGTGCGCACAGACAGAAGACCCCAGAAGGAACCAACCTTGCTGACTCCTTGATCTTGGACTTCTAGCCTCCAGAACTGCGAGACGGTATGTTTCTGTTGTTCAAGCTGCCCGGTCTGTGGCTCTTGGTCACGGCAGCCCTGGAAGCCGGCCAGGTCCGCGTGCCTCTGCCCAAGGGGACCTGTCCTGCACCTGGATCCTCAACTCTCCGGAGAGGAAGCTCCCCCATTATGCTGTGGGGTGGAGGGGAAGAGGGTCAACATGGATCACTCTTGCTTTGGCTTAGAAACTCTGCATTGCTGCCAGGACCTGCCCTCCTGGGTCATGCCGTTGTGGATGGCCTCAGCATTCCCCTGAACGTTTTCCAAAGCCCTAAGCCAAAGACTAAACTCACTGCCTCTGTGTGACCCCCGTCCATGCATGGTCCATGCTAGGACTCACCCCCCCAGACAGTGCACTCCCCTCCAGATAAAGTACTCACCCCCCAGATAGTACACACACTCACCCCCCAGACAGTGCACTCCCCTCCAGATAAAGTACTCACCCCCCAGACAGACAACACTACACCCCCAGACAGTGCACTCCCTCCAGATAAAGTACTCACCCCCAGATAGTAACACACACTCACCCCCCAGACAGTGCACTCCCTCCAGAAAAGACTCACCCCCCAGATAGTACACACATACCCCCAGACAGTGCACTCCCCCAGATAAAGTACTCCCCCCAGAAGTACACACACTCACCCCACCAGACAGTGCACTCCCTCCAGATAAATGTACTC